CCGCCCGCCCCATGGCCCCCCCAGACTGCCTGCGCGTCGGCTGCGCACCCAGTAAGTGGCTTCCCTCTTTTTCTGCAGAGACCCAAAGGGACCGGGATGCTGGACGCTGGGGTTTAGGGAGGGAGGGGTCAGGAGAAGCTGTCATGGGGGCTTGCGTGAGGATTGGGGAGTGGGGGTGGGAGGACAAGGGGTTGTGGCGGGCAGAATGGACCGGATGAAGCAGACCTAGGGACGTTGGTCAAAAGGAAGACCAGGAAACCTTGTCGCCTAAGTCAGCAGTAGGGTAAGGAGGAGGTGGATATCAAAGGCTGGGTGGCACCTGGAAACTCCACCATCCTATGGGCCGGAGGGAGCCTGAGGGGCTGGGAATATACTGCTGCATCTCCAGTACTGGCCACAAGGGGGCAGGCGAGGAATGCCGGAAAGATGTATGCAGGAGAGGGGCGTGTCTACGTCTCGAATTCAGCCCTCTGTTGCTCCGGTTTGCTCCGGATGGAGTTCCTACCAATTGGGGTCTCCTTCACAGGAGCTAGTGGGCGCTGTTAGCAAGGGTCAGAAAGAAAGCCAGTGGGGACAAGTCTGGGCCTGCTGGTGAGGCTGGCAGAGGCTTGGCCTCAGTGTTGCTGTAAGGCGTGCCCTGAGATCAGGTCACCCGAGGCAGCATGAGAACTTGGAAACTACCGGTACAGACACTGACCAAGGCCCCTAACACTGCGTGCGTGTGTGTGTGTGTGTGTGTGTGTGTGTGTGGCATGTGCGTGCACACTGGAGATCCTTTAATACCAGCACCCTGAGCCCCACTTGGAAGATCAAAGGGCTCAGGGATGACCTGGGACTGCTGCAAAGTCCAGCAACATTTGAAAGATAAGTATGTTTGACTTTAGACTCCAGAGATTGATAATCCCAATCTTGAATAAATGATCAAAATTCCTAAAATAAGAACACTCCCCTCTGGCTGTGCCGGCTCTTTATGGACTGTGAGGGTGGTTGCATGTCCCAGTGTGTGGAGGAAGGCAGGCATGTGCAGAAAAGTCACACTGGGTCCCCTGAAGATGGGAAAGTTGGGTGTTGGGGTGGAGGGTGAAGTGTACACTGGTGTGTGCAGTTGTGATCTAGGAGCTTCTGAGAGTTTCAGATCTATGATAATGTGCTGAGAATGTGGTCACTGGAGCACACGCTGTATGTCCTTGGCAGCATGGAGAAGTGTGTTGGTTGTAGGTATATCTGTGTGCAGGGCCTCAGCACAGCTTCATGGGCTCTACTCACCACACATTCTATATGAATGATACCTACGCGCCCACGTTAAGTGGCAGTCTGTGGGTCATCTGGGTTTGTGTGAAAATTCTGTATGTGCATGTGCTCTGGGGGCTGTGAGTGTGCGTCCTTGTGTGCACATACGTGTGTGTGGGGCTACTGGGGTGGAGTGTGAAGCTGTCTGGGGCATGTGTAGGGCCATGCTCACCCCCTCCTTGGTGCTGCAGGTAAAGGCCCCGAGACGCTGTTTGCGGGCCACAAGCTCAATGACAATGAGTGGCACACAGTGAGAGTGGTACGGCGTGGCAAGAGCCTGCAGCTCTCTGTGGACAATGTGACCGTGGAGGGTAGGTATCCTGGGCTGAGGGTGCTTAGCACATTTCTGGAGACCCGTGGTTGCTTCTGAGTGACCACTGCCTGGCCTACTGTTCCCAGGGAATCACTCTGGTGGATGACCTCCGCCATTTCTCCCCGGGGGTGGTATTTTATGGGGATCTGAACCCCAGGTGCCATGTCAGTTCTCTGCAGGGAGCATTTCCCTGGAAGCCTGTCGGCCCTCTACTCATGAGTCCCCAGTTCCTCCTGGAGCTGGGCTTGCTCCTAGCATTGGCCCAGGGCATCCCTTCTGAGGTGACTCACATGTGGCCTCTTATGGAGGCAGTGTTCCTGGGAACCTGAGGCCCTACCCCAGAGCTGATCCTGTGATCTGTGTTCCATAGCCAGCCTCCTCATCTCAGTCTCCTGTCCCAAGCAGGACAGATGGCAGGAGCCCACACGCGGCTGGAGTTCCACAACATTGAGACCGGCATCATGACAGAGCGGCGGTTCATCTCCGTGGTGCCCTCCAACTTCATTGGGCATCTGAGTGGGCTGGTATTCAATGGCCAGCCCTACATGGACCAGTGCAAAGATGGTGACATCACCTACTGTGAGCTCAACGCTCGCTTTGGCCTGCGTGCTATTGTGGCCGATCCTGTCACCTTCAAGAGTCGGAGTAGCTATCTGGCACTCGCCACGCTCCAAGCCTACGCCTCCATGCACTTATTCTTCCAGTTCAAGACCACGGCCCCTGACGGGCTTCTCCTGTTCAACTCGGGCAACGGCAATGACTTCATCGTCATAGAGCTGGTCAAGGGGTGAGGGGCTGGGCATTGTACCACTGTCAATGAAGTGACCCCTTCCCCTTGCTGACCCAGATGCAGCTTCCCTGGCCACTAGGAGTATCCATTGCACCCAAACCACAAATCAAGACTCAGATCCCCAACTGCCAGCAGTCTCCCTTCTCAGCCAAGGTGGACAAGAAGCACGCCCCTTCTAGGCTGTGGACTCCCCAGCTGCTTTCTCCCCAGGGGTTCCTTCCAAGGCCCTCTACAGGCAGAATTCAGCTCAGTCTCTTTTGCCTTGAAAGATCCCACCCCAGAGCAGCTCAGTTCTGGCTTTCAGGGGGCCCCAAACACCTCCCCACTCCTCCAGCTTCTCTTCTGAGCCTTTGTCACAAGAGCCAACTCTTTGGTGGCCCTCTGTCCCCGTGTCTTCCCTGTAACAGGACCTCGAACCATAGCCCTCTTGCCATCGGTTTGGTTGCTGCCTGTGGTGTCTCCCCTCAATCCCATCTCCCCATGGCTCCTAGGACCCCAGCAGTTGTAGCTCCTCCTTCCCCACCTTCCCAGCATTTCCCACACCCTGACCCAGTGTCTCCTCCCTACTGTGGGGCAGGTACATCCACTACGTGTTTGACCTGGGGAATGGCCCGTCCTTGATGAAGGGGAACTCAGACAAACCAGTCAATGACAACCAGTGGCACAACGTGGTGGTGTCCAGGGACCCAGGCAACGTGCACACGCTCAAGATTGACTCCCGCACTGTCACGCAGCACTCCAATGGCGCCCGAAACCTCGATCTCAAAGGTGGGGCTGGGGCCTCTGGAGAAGGCCTGGCCCTGGCCCAGATCCCCCATCACCCCAGCAAGATCACCCCCTCCTGCGATGCTGCTTCCTTCGGGCCCACCCTTTCTCCCCTTGGCCCTAGTTTCTGTCTCTCATTCCCGACCCCCTTATGTCCAACTGACAGTTTCCTGTCAAAGTCTGCTCAACTTTTCTGTGAGTTCATCTCTCGACACAAAGCACTGGTGGCAGCGTGTGCCTTGTGGGGTGCTTGGTGGCTTGATTCTAGAGCTGGGCCTTTCAAGGACCTCTTGGGCCCCCAAGATGGAGAAGCCAGCGTTGCTCTGGATGGGGTAGAGGAGGGGCCGAGGGAGCAGCAGGATCTGGGCTACCATGATGCATCTTGACACGCAGTCGGTGTCACATCTTGGTCGTACATTCTCCAGTGGGCATCGCCTTCCCCCAGAATCCGTGGTTGAGAGCAGGAAGATGAGCTAAGAGGCTGGGCGTTGGAATGGGAGAAATGAGGCCTGTGGCTGCTCCAGCGCCCACTGACATCCCTCAGCCCCATAGGGATCCCTGTGTGTCCAGGGAACCCAAACCGTCAGAGCTTGGGGGGGGTCCTCAAAAACCCGAGAGTTTATCTCCCCCTTACTTAGGCGGGAGATCTGCCAGGTCTTCTGGCATGTGCTGCGAATCTTCCTTGCTTCCAGAAGAGGGCGATGTGTCACGGGGAATCTGGAGTGGCAGCAAATCCAGGGGCTAACACAGGTCTTGGGATGCACTAATAAGCCCTTGGCCACAGCAGCAGATTGATCAGCATGTTGGCCGAAGCCCTCCTCGAGGCTGTGCTGGGTGCTGGTCAAGGCTTCCAGGGCCTTAAGCTCCAAGCAGGCAATCAGATGTCTCTGAGGAGAATGCCTTCTGGGAGCCCCAGGGGCTGGGGGAGGGTCTGAGAGTTCTGGGAAGGGACTTGGGGAGTGAGGGAGCAGGGGTGCGGGGGTGGGGAGGTGGAAAGGATAGGGCTGCCCATGTATGAAAGGCCCTGATTACAGGCCGGAACTGGAACCAAACGTGTGGGAGATAGCACAGAACAGGTTCCTCCAGCTGTCTCCCCCCCAGCCCCCAGTCATCTGGGCTTCTCTGGGAGGGAGCAGACAGATGGCAAAGTGGAGAAGGAAGGAGGAAGAGGTGGGGGCAGGGCTCTGCGGGTCACTGCTGTGTCTGTTAGGGATGCCCCAGCCTCCAGAGGGCTGGGAGAATCTGAAAGCTGGATGCCATTGTCCTGGGAGGTGAAAGAGGGTCGAGATGCCTGGGTGGTGACCCGGTTCCCTTTTCAGGGGAGTTGTACATTGGCGGCCTGAGCAAGAATATGTTCAGCAACCTGCCCAAGCTGGTGGCCTCCCGGGACGGCTTTCAGGGCTGCCTGGCCTCTGTGGACCTCAATGGGCGCCTCCCAGACCTCATCGCAGACGCTCTGCATCGCATCGGGCAGGTGGAGAGGGGCTGTGATGGTGAGTGTAGAGGGATGGCTAGGTGTGAGCCTGCAGACTGCAGAGGGGCCAGCTGCAGAGGCAGGCCAGGGCCGGCAGCCTGTGCTCGGCACCGTGGCTTCCTTTCAGGCTTGAGGGAGCCCATCCCCAGAGATCTGGGGCACAGTACAGGAGAGTGAGGGGTCACTGGGCCTCTCTGTCACCTCCTGCCCTGGCCCCTTATCACGCAGTGCAAGGCCAACCCAGGCCTGCCATCCCACTTGATTGTGCAGTTGGTGTTTGAGGCAGTATCTGAAGCTTTCACACACCTGGGAAAGGAGGGTGCTTAGTTGAGTCTGCGGTGTTTCTTCTTCCTGCCCCTTCCAGGCCCCAGCACCACCTGCACCGAAGAGTCCTGTGCCAACCAGGGCGTCTGCCTGCAGCAGTGGGATGGTTTCACCTGTGACTGCACCATGACATCCTATGGAGGCCCTGTCTGCAATGACCGTGAGTGTTTGGGGGGTGGGGCAGCCAGGCCCATCCCCAGCCCCAGAGATTGCAGGGGCAGAAGGAGGGTCTCAGAGAGCTCATGATCTGTGTTGCTTGCTTGCTTCTTATCCTTTGCCACAGGATCCCAGGGGAGCTGCGAGCTGCTGTCCCCTCTCTGAGCCTTTCTCTGAGGTTGTACAGGATGGCTGAGGCCTGAATCTCTGGGGTCTCTATTGATAGATGGCCTTGCCGCCTCATTCTGAGCTGGTGGGACATCTGGGTTCCCTGGACACGTATCCTGCTGATGCCTCTTTCTCTTCCAAGAATCCCAGCTGAAGGTTATCCCCTTGAGCCACGAGGGCACTCCCCACTGTCCTCACTTGGTTCTTCTCCCTGACTGGGCATCTGCCTGCCAACTTACATATTGTTAGAGATCCCTCTCCAGAGAAAGTGACCTCAGCAGCACTTTCTTGTCCCTCGTGGTTGGTGGCTAACAGCTGGCAAGAGCTTGGCTGAGAGAGGGCAGCTGGGCACAGGGAGAACCGGCCTTTCACTTCTGAGGGTGTGGATCTTTGGAGTTTCCTTCAGATGATTGGGCTGAGGGAAGGATCTGAGCCGAGCATGGCTTGAAAGGTCTTCTTGGGAACCCTACTGAGGGACCAAACAGAAAACATAACTTCTTTGCCTGGAGCTTCTCTGCCTTATGAACATGCAAATGAGGCTGGGAGAGGGAGAGTGGATTTCTGGGGGTATCAGTAACAGATTCGGATAAGAACTTGAGTCAGTGCCTTTGCCTCCACTCCATGCTGTTGGACCTTCAACAGGTATTGGCCTGATCCCTGCATTTCTTACTGGGGAAATCTGCTGGTTCCAGGAATTGGGGCTTTTGGCTGGGTGTTGGTTTTTCCTCCCCCTTTGAAAAAATGTCCTGCCTATCTTCCTCCACAGTTTTCTGCCAGCCCTTGGGTATTACCATGGCCCATTCTATCCCCCAGGATTGTCCTTACCTGACCTGATGCTCTGTGACCTTGCAAAGCCTCCCTGATGGCTGATTTAGGGACTCTTCAAGCCTGGCTGCCATAGCTTAGATGAGGCTGTGGTTGGGCTTCTTCTCTGTCAGGTAGCTCAACTTAACACAGATCTGGAGAAGATGGTAACTTTGTTGCTCAGTAGGAACACTCCCCACTAATAGTCTGGTGGCCCTTACAAAGCCCTTTCCATTTGATTCTTGGAGAAGACAAACTTTCCTGTTCACCTGAGGAGCAAACCAAGCCTCAAGTCATAGGGGGACAGCGGTAGAGCTCAGCTGGAAGCTGTGTCCCCAGGTTTGGATTGTTATCCTCTGCAATCACTGAATCTTGGGGATGGTGGTGGTACCCACAGTGGGCATTTCTTGCTTGGGACAGGGAATCTGGTTTAAAAATCACTGATACCCACAGTCACTACTTTGCATATAGTGGAGGCTTCTGGAAAGAGGGCATAGAGACGGATGGGGAGGGGCATCCAGGGATTGTACTACCTTTGGGCAGGGGTGCGAAGAACAAGTTCTCTGGTTGGTGGCAGGGAGGGAGATTTGGGCTGGTGGAGCAGGGCCCATTTTGGGAAATGTCACCGTCCCCAAGCCCTTGTGCGTGTGTCTGGAGGCACAGCCTGAGGAAAGCTGTGGAGGTAAAGACAAGGTGGGTGTGACCTGGGAGCCCACGTGGGGCCAGCGCAGCCCTGGGGAGCCTCTGAGATCTCCCCCAGCCCCGGGGGTGGGGTATCTGCTGGGGCTTTTCTCCTGGGGCTGCTCCTAATGGTTTTCTCATGTCCTCTCTGCGGCTGGTCTTCTTGGGGCCCTGTGTACACAAGATCCGGCAGAAGCTAGCCAAGGAATACAGAAAATGTGAGGGCCCTGCGGGGAGGAGGGAGGCATGGCCCAGAGCAGCCCTCTGAGGGTCAGGTGGGGTGTAGAGCTGCCTGGTGGGGGAGGTTCTAGGAGGAGGAGAGCCTCAACCTTCAAGACACACGTCACTTACTGCCTCAGTTTCTCCACCTGTGACTACCACCAGGGATGAAAGGATCTTTGTTTTCCTCTAAGGATCAGGAGTCTGCTCTGGGAAGATGGGAGAGAAAATCAGAGGGAGAGAATCCATCTCTTGAATGAGGGAGAGGGAAATGGAGAGAAAGCAAAACAGACTGTGGAAGCGTGGCTGGGGGCATACCCTAACCAAAGCCCCTGGGTTTTACTGTCTCCAACTGTCTCCTGCCTCTCCCAGGAGGTCAGTGCCTCACACTCTGCCTGGCCATCTCTGCTCATGCCTGCAACCTCTATTGATCTCTTGCACACCTCCTTCTCTCTGCCGCCCCATCACCCCTCCAACTCCAGTTCCCTCTCACGGATATTGATTGGCCTCTAGGCGGTTTCCCTTCCTCTCTTCTTGCCATTGGCTCCTCCCTCCCTCCCTCTGGGGCCGTACATTTTTGCCTGCTCAGAACTGTGTCAGTCTATATTCCAGAACTAGGGGTACAGGATGGGATAGAGAGGGCAGGAGGACACACCTTTGGAGGGGCTCCAGCCTACTGTCTCCTCTATGGGAACACCCTAAAGCTCCTCTTGGGTATCTCTGAGGACCCTTTCTTCACTTTTGAAGGGCTGGGGGCCGTGTTGGGCCCTGACATCTAGCAGGGTGAGAGGGTGCCACGGGAGCTGTGGGTTCTGACTGGACCCAGAGGCTAGGGGTAACCACAAGATTCTGGGACAGTTTTGCTCCAAAATGGAATTCAGAATCAATAAGCAGGAGCCAGCTCTCTCTTCCCCTCCCCTCCTCCTCACAGCCCTCCCTGTTCTCCCCTTCCCTCCCTTCCTCTGGCCCTGCTCTTTCTGTGCTCACTTCTCCTTACTGCTACATTGATGTTCTGGTCCCTCCCAGAGTCCCCTTTCCACTGTCCCCTCTTTCCTCCTCTACCTTCTGGCTCCTCCCCACCGCACCCTCTGCTCTGTTCACGCAGGCTGATGTTGGGTGTGGAGGTGGCATCCAGATGGAAGGAAGGCAGCCTCTGTGCACTTACCTCTGTGGCCAGGACATTTGCCTCCTAGAGTCCTCAAAAGTTAGGGTGGCAGGTCCCAGGGTAGGAGGGGCACCCTGAACAAGTGGCTTCCTTTGCTGGAGGTGAATGAGCCAGGAAAGGCTTTGCTCTACATGGAACAGTCAGCGGATGCGTGCCTGGAATCCCGCTATGGGGAGAGGGTGAGGCTGGAGGGAGGGGAGCAGGAGAGGACAGTACAGACTTCACGGTGTGGCCATGTCTTATCCCTGAGTCCCGCTGGGGCTCTGGACATACTGTATGGGTACGGGTGACCCTGTTTTGGTGGTTGAGCTTCAGGGTGTGTGTGTGTGTGTTGGCTGTTTGTTGCGTGTGATCAGACACGTATGTGCATGCATGTATGCCTCTGTGAGCATGTGTACCTGCCCGGCTGGGAGTGCTTTGGTGTGCCAGAGGTCTTTGAGAACAGGTATACATCTATGTGCCTGAGCCGTGGGGAGCTGTATAGCCGCCTGGGTGTCTCCGAAGCAAGCCCAGTTCCTGTCCCAGTGTGCACGTGCGTTGTGAGGGACCCATGAAGAGGTGGCTGTGGTCACATCTCTGTACTGGGCCAGCGAGCGCTACTGGGGCTTGTCCAGGTGTGTGTGGGGGAGGAGGGAACGGCTTCTCTCGCCAGCCTCAGTCCTGTTCAATTATTCAGCAGGGCCCCTTCTCCGGGAGGAAGGGAGGGCG